TATTATGAGTACATCAAGGATTGAAGGTTAATTGAAGTGTTAGTCAAGTTTTTATGGTATGCTATTCCAAAACATAGAAACTTTTCTGGCTAGAATGCTTTGTTATCATCGTTGGATATCTCATAACTTACTCCCTTTAATGTATGTTTTTCCCGCAGTTTTGTTGTTTCATTCAATTGTATTGATTATTTTTTGTTTGGTATACATATTATCTCATTTGGACAAAACTTCTCGTTCTTTTAATGTTCTTTTTTTCTCTCTTTCTCATTCGACTCTTCTAAATATTTTTTGTATGAGTTATGACTATTTTTGAAAAACTAATTTGAAGAATATGAAATAAAACCTACTCCAAATAAACGTACTAGCTTAAACTACAAAAGATATGTCTATTAACATAGATTTGTTGTCCTTCATGTCCCAAGTCATTGTTGAGCATTTGAGTTATCTAGGTTAGACTAATTTTTAATTTTTTAATGTTCGAGAATATTTCTTTAACATTAGTCTAGAATCTAACATTTTTATCTACTTGTACTTTCATAATGCAACAATTATACATACATATTTTTGAACAAGTCGTAAAGTTTCATTGATAAAGCATTTAGAAAGGGACTTAGAGTAGTAGTTTATTGAAGAGTGAATTTCTAAAAGGGTCAACAATATTACTTTTTTGTTGTTTCAAATATATTTTTCTCCTTCTATAAATTTTTTTAGAGTAACAAAGTAACAATAACGAAAAGTTGTGAACGTTTGAACTCAGACAAGTACATTGTATCTAAAGAATATTATCTACGTTGTTGTGGTGTACTTTTTTTAACGGTCTTAGCATATTTATAAATAATATTGGTTATCGAAAACTTTCACATAATTATAACAAAAAAATAGAAAAAGTGATATTTAATCGCTACATTAGAACATCACTCAATTTTAACAACACAATTATATCATCAAATGTATATATGATAAATTATATAAAAAATTAAAATTATTAGATACCAAAATATTTTTAATCTTAATTATATATTTACAATTCTTGAGATATTTGATAATGTCAAATTATTTAATTCTGTTGAAATGTTCAAGAAACATACTAATTTTTTTTGCTTATATTAGTCGATTATTGAAAAGGTTGTTCAAAGTTTTAGAAAAATTATTTAAACATTCATAAAGCGCGAATAAATTATCTTATCTAGTATATATATATATATATATATATATATATAGACTTCCTGAGCTTTGAGACTTTCTGATGTGTTGAGCGGCCGTTTTCTTCTTGCAAAATCCATTCACCGAGAGGTGCCGGTTTCGATACCGTTCATTTTGGTTTGTTATCGTTTCAATTTCGGCTTATCCTGGTAAGGAGCGATTAGTAAGGGGTTCGAGAGATGTAACGGGACAGAAATCAAAATTTATCGGTTAGTCTCGGTCCGATAAATATCGATTTCAATCTCGATTCGATTCGTTTAATTTTTTTTAAAAAAATGAAATAGCTTCTGTAAATAGGGATTCGTTCGGCAACAGATCATGGGGTGGGCCCCACCATCGGTGCTTTCATTCACATTACCCCTTAACTTTTTTTAATACCCCAATGTTTTAGAAACTACATCTTCATTCTTACCTATAAATACCCCGAAACTTTCATTCTTTTCACTCACAAAAATATCATATTCTATTCTCTGAACTGTGTACTCTCTAATCTCTTCTTCTCGTTGAAATAACGAATTTGGTCTTTGAAAATTGGATTTGGAGCTTCAAAATTCAACTTTCAACTTTCAATTTTCGGCTTTCGATCGTACACATCTACTTTTTTAAGTAGACGTTTGGTATATTCGTTCCAACTTTCATCTCATTTTTTTATTTAGTTATTTATTTATTTTGCGAGTAATTATTTGTTTGCATTATATTTTTGTATTATATATAATTTACTCACTTTTCATATTTGAATATAAATTTAGATAAAAAAATTATTGAAAAATGTTTAAAAAAAAGCATAGTTGAGTCGGTTAATAGTTTGTTAACCTTTAAATCCAACAGTAATAAAAAAATTAAGTTGTTCTTCTAAATCTAAAACTAAAAGATTTAGTGTATTAAGAATGAATACGGGTGATTATACACATGTTAATAATACTGTTTTTTTATATTGATAGTATTTGTGGATTAGATCCTTATCATGAATATTTACAAAGAAGGTTTGATAATTTTGATGAGGAATTGCCTGAAGATGATGAACATGATAATGTTAATGATTATATTGATACGCCTACTTTTGATGATGATGAAACAGAGACACCAATGGCTACTAGTAATCCTAGTCCCTGTTCCAATCCTACTCCTAGTTCCGCTCCCTTTCATTGTCCTGCTCTCGTTTCCCCGTACTAACTAGGCCTAATGTAGAACGTGCTAAAAAATTAGTTGTGTGACTATTTATGACACAAAAAGGATAAAACACAAACTATTTGTGATAAATGTAAACATAGATTGAATCATAAAACTGTAGGAAAACAAGATCGGACAAGACATTTGAGTAATCATTTTATGTCATGTAATAAAAATGAATTTTTGCATACTAAAGCGGTAGACAAAGCTAACAAGAATGTTACCTCTTTCCTCGAATCGCAGGAGTAGGTGGCTCTAATAATGGTCCAAATACATTTAAATCATTCTAATGTTTCTGGCTCTAGTTTACCACAATCATATAGTAGAGAAAAAGATCTTGAAGAATTAGTAAATGATTGTTGTTATGGATTTGCCATTTAGTTTTGCTGAAAAATCTCGATTTATTCATTATATTCAAATTGTGTATAATCCACATTTTAAAGGTTTTGCTAGAAATACAATTAGAAAGATTGTATTTGATTATCGAGTAACATTTTAAATATTTTCATTGTTTATTTTATTATAATAATTGTAAAATAACTACTACTTCTTATATGAGCCATAGTGTAAATGGTAATGATTATTTGATTGTTACTGCACATCGGATTGATGAAAATTGGAGTACGCAAAAAAGAATTTTAGATTATAAATATTGTGAAATGCATAAAACTGGTAGTTATATAACTCAAACAATTGTAGATGTTTTACAAAACTATGAGATTTGTGATAAAATAAGTAGTGTCCCCTTAGATAATGCTTCAAATAATACAGTTGTTGTTGACATGCTAAAAATGTCTCTTTGCCCTATTTATGATGATGATTTTCATGTTAGATGTGCTGCACACATATATAATTTGATTGTTAGAGATGGTATAACAATGTATGATGATGGTTGCATGAAAGTTGAAAATGCATGTCATTTTATATTTAAATATCAAGTTAAGTCTAGACGTAGAGAATTTCAAAATCGTTGTCGTGAATATAATCTTCCAACTAGAAAAATTCCAAAATCAGTGTCTACTAGATGGAATTCTTTATATGAAATGCTTGAAGTCACTTATGAATATAGAAAACTTTTGTAAATGGTTTGGAATGCTCATAATTCAAATATGACATATAGACTTGATGATAGTGATTGAAATGACGTAAAAGAACTCATAGAATTCTTAAATTTTTTTATGTAACTACAAGAAAAATATCTACACTTTATTATCCAACCGTTTGGTCTGTTTTACCTAATATTTGTGCGATTTCTACTAAATTTTATAAATTTAAAAATAAACCAAGATTTTAAAAATCTATTAACAAAATGGATTGAAAAATTTTAAAATATTTTAATCCTATTTCTCAAATTTATTTAGCCGCTTATTTGTTAATCTCACATTACAATGATGTAGGAGCATCTAGAATTGTTCAAAAAAATAAATTTAAATATGGGTATTGAGAGTGAAGATGTTGAAACACCTAGTTGTCAACATGTTGAAGATATTATAAAAATTGAAGTTAGAAAAATTGTATGACTTATATAACTCTAATATAAATATATTAAGTAATGAAGAACATCAAAGTTCTAGGTATAGATTAAATGAAGGTGATATTGATGATATGTTAGATTTTTATCTTGAACTTTTTCATAATAATATAAATGATTTGATACATATGTTAATCAAAGTATAGAACCTACTAATGATATTCTAGAATGGTGGAGCAATCGCGGCAAAGGATTTCCAAAACTTCAACTGGTGGCTCAATGTCACATGATTTAAGAGAAATGTCACATGATTTAAGAAAAAATATCTATGTTAACACGGACTATTAAATTTAAATGTCTAATTGTCTAATAGTATGAGTGTGATAATTCAAAGTCTAACTCAAATAAAACCCTTCCTAGAAGGTGGCCATATAGATTAGATCTTCTAATACTCTACTAATATTTTTGTAGATTAAATTGTACTATTCTATATTCCACCTAAAAAAAAAATTTATCATCTTAAATTCAATTTTTAAAGTGTAAAATTTAAACTTTTATAATTATAGTTTGAAAGTTTTGAATTTCAATTTTCAAACTTTTAAAGTAAAAAATTTAAACTTATATACTTTTAAACTTTAAAATTTAAAAAATTTTAAAATTCAAGTTTTTTCAAACTATAAATATAAATTTTTAAATATAAATTAAAAATTTCAAACTACGAATATAAAATTTTAAATTTAAATTCAAACTTTCAAACTATAAATATAAAATTTTAAATTTAAATTCGAACTTTCAAACGGTAATTATAAAATTTTAAGTTTCACACTTTAAAAAAGTTTGAAAAGTATAAATTTTTAACTTTAAAATAATAAAAGTTTTAATAATTAATTGTTTTTAGTAATTTTTTTTAAAAAAAAGTAGCCGTTACTCCCTGCTAAATCGGTCCGGTCCCGGTTCGTTAGTGGACCAGGATGGGTACTGCTTCAAGTATCCCGAACTAGCGGTACCTGTCCATCCCAGTTCCGAAACGCCTACCGGCTTGTGGTGCTTGGTTCCGGTCAGTCCCGGTTCCAGTACCGTTGCCAGCCTTGGTCTGGGTATGCACAAAGAATTGCAGAAAATCAATGATGTTAGTGAATTAATTGGAGGTCATAGATCAACTCTATACAGAAAAATAAGACTTCCTACGTTAAACACTCTTAACAGTTTGAACTCTCAGCTATATACACTTAACAAATTGAAACCACCAATTCCACAAACTCGAACTAAAGATTAAAATAAAGAATTACAAAAAAATGCATTACAAATGAACAAGGTTGTACAGAGTAGTCCGTTAACACCCTACCCTACCTGAAACAAATGCCAGAAAAATGTTTGCAGACAGATCTATACACTGCTCTGCATATGGCGATGAGTTTCCGACACACCAAAGAAAATCATCCGATGTGGGGTGCATAAATCAAGCGTCATGATGATCAATCATCCAATCAATCAACAGCCTTTGCACACTTGGGCACCTGTCGCCCAGCATAAGAATGCCATCAGGTAAAGTGTGAGAATCACTTTACTGTTCATGTTTCTATTTATTATCATGAATCATGAGGGCCTTGGATCAGCACAGTAATACACTTAGAACTGTCTGCGCGCATGGTATCTCCTTTAGATCCAATCTGGGATAAAAAGTCATTTTGAAGATACCTTAAAACTCTTAGCTAACCTGAGTATTCGGAGAAAAACCATGCACAGTATGCAGGCTGATGAAACTAAGAGAGAATCAGCTAGTTTTAAGGAAAAAGCCACCCTACCTCATTTGGTAAATCAAGGGAAAACCATCGCAGTAGAACTCCAAGGTGAACTACAGCAGGAATTAGCTTGAAAAGTAACGGTGTTGTAACCTGCAGAAATACCTTGGAGTTAGCACAACCTAATTACTATAAAATATAACAGTCAACTCTAAATGATGTAGAAAACACCCCCACCAAAAAAAGAAAATAGATTGGCCCATGTAGCATTATAATTTCTCTTAACCAATTATTAGTTCAGGTTGCATGAGGTTCATCAGTGCTATTTTGAGGCTAGCTGATAATATCTTGACCAGGCACATTCAAAGATAATAACCAGCAGTAACTTGATGATAGGGAGACTTCCAGAATGTACTAAGAAATAAAACATGCTAAGGAATTTGGGATACTTTTGCAGACCATTCATATGCAGAAAATTGGATGTTGAGACCCCAGACTGAGCTAGCTTGGTTGAGCCCTTTTAGATATACAACTTTTTTTTTGCGGATAGTTACACTAATATATATATTCAAAGGTAAACTACATCCAAAATATGTAGTTCCCCTTCAGAAGGTATTACGACAAAATCATATTGCCGTCTATCCCCTCTATTTCTTACAAATAATCTAAAACATCCACGATATCTTCTGCTTGGACTAAAATTTTCTGTTTACACCAAAAATAAAATAACGCTAGACAATTCATCTTGATGCTCTGATGTCCATTCTGCTTGTCTTCAAAACACCTCTGATTTCTCTCTTTCCATACGGTCCATCATATGCATGTTGGGACAATCTTCCATCTCTCCTCCTTCGTTGCTGCATTACCATCACTATTCCAACTATTGAGGACTCCTCAAATGTTTCCTGGCTTTACCCATTTATTTTCCTCAAGCTGATGAACATCCTCCAAAGTTGTTATGTCCATTTGCGGTGCAAGAAGAGATTGCTAATCGTCTCCACTTGTTCCCCACATAATAAACATCTTGAACATCGTTGAAATTTCCTTTTGTTCAAATTATTATGTTAACAACTAGCCATATGAAGCAGTTAACTTTGTATAGGATCTTGGTTTACCATATCGTCTTCCTCCCTATGATTTGATCTATTCAACTGTCTACATGCTGAGTTGATAGAGAAATACCTTTCCTCTCTTTCTTCCGCACTATGGTATCCCTTTCTTCAGATAGATTGTTGAATATCGTTGAAGCTGGCCATAATGGTGTAAAAAGTTGCTTCTCTTCCCACTTCCCAATCATTCAAGTTTCTCCTTAAGTTTGGGTTCCACCTTGTCCGGTCAACATCTCTGCAACTGTGGCCTGTTGAAGAATAAAAAGATTGTGGAGAACCGGAAATTGATGTTGTAATGGTGCACCCCCTATTCAGTTATCATTCCAAAAAGAAATCTTTTGTCCATTACCTACTTTGTAGTTAATTCTTCTCTTCAACAGAGGCCATAAACTTCTGATAGCTCTGCCATACATGTTATCACTTGTTCCGAATTTCCACAGCCATTTCATCATTAGACTCTGATTTTGTGCTTTCATATTTCTCGTTCCAACTCCTCATGCTTTCTTTCCCACTGCTTTCTTTCCCATTTAACTAGGTGAAATTTGTTTTTGTCTTCAGTGCCTTGCCAAAAGAAATCTCTTCTAATGTTTTCAATTCTTTTTATCACATTTATTGGTGTTGGGAAGATCCACATAATGTATGCAGGCAGTGCATCTAATACAATGTTTGCCAAGGTGAGTCTTCCTCCTCTAGAATGGTATTGACTCTTCCAATTTGACAACTTCTTCTCACATTTCTCCAGTACACCATTTTGTATTGGTATGGAATTTGCCTTTTGCCCCAAAAGGCATAACCAATTATGTAGTTGGGAGGTTCCCCACCGTCCCTCCTAGCTTTGTGGCATAGCTTTCCAGTTCCATAACTTCATTTTTGGGATAGATGAAGTTTTTCTTCCAATTAATATGCAAACCTGACACAACTTCAAAGATAATGAAGATAGCCCTTAGAATCAAAATATGTACTTTCACTGCATCACAAAAAACTAGGGTATCATCTGCATATGAGTGATCTCCAAGCTATTTACATCACCGGTTTGGAAACCTCTAATCCATCCCTTCACCTTAGCTGTGTGCAGTAACCTATTCAAACCCTCCATTGCCAGAATAAACAAGAAAGGTGACAAGGGGTCACCCTGCCTTAGTCCTCTATGAGAAGGAAAAAAGCCATTCGGTGTCCTGTTTTTCAAGACTGAGAATTTTTTAATGTACTAATACAATGCTTAATCCACTTGATCCATCTAGCTCCGAACCCCATTTTTTCCATCATCTGAATTAGAAAGCCTCATTTAGATGATCATAAGCTTTCTGGATATCTAGTTTGCATAGAATACCTAGTAGCTTACTCCTTTGTCTTGATTCCGCACATTCATTTGCAATTAGAATGACATCCATAATTTGTCTCCCATTTATGAATGCCATTTGTTGTCTATCCGCCAGTTTATGGATGGCCTTTTTCAATCTTTCAGCCAAAAGCTTAGCAATAATCTTGTAAACTCCCCCAATCAAACTAATAGGTCTGTAATCATTTAACTTTACTGCTCCAGTCTTCTTAGGGATTTATAGCCACAAAAGTAGCAATGAAACTTTTCTCAAGGATCCTTCCTCATGGAAGTTTTGCACAATTGCAACTAGATCATACTTGATGATCTCCCAACAGTGTTTAAAGAAGTCCATGGAGAATCCATCACGGCCAGGGGCTTTGTCTCCTCCACAAGCTTTGATGCTCTCCAGTATTTCCTTCTCGTCAAAGCCATCAGAGTGATGTTTTCTGCCTCCTTAATCTTGGGGCAATCTCTCATCACTAGTTGAGGCCTCAACCTTTCTGTCTCGTTGTAAAGATTCTCATTGTAGGAGATGATTTCATTGTTTCTCTCCTCTGGCTCTGTCACTATCTCTCCCCTGATTTTCAACTTGTCTATGGTGTTAGCTCTTCTGTGTGCATTTGCTATTCTATGGAAAAAGTTTGTATTTCTTTTTTTTTTTACAAAAGTACTGTTGTATTCCTCAGCATTAAGGGATGCTGGTCACCTTCAAAAACTTTTACAAGAAGAGAAAATAGAGTGTAGATTTACAAAGCTCCCAAGAAAACGACAAAATCATCCATTTCCTCTTATATTGTTCTCCTTGCACCAAAAAAATAATGTGACTAGACAGCTCTATTTTACATCGTGAATGGACTTAACTTTGTCTTCAAAGAATCTCCCATTTCTTTCTTTCCACATTGTCCACCAAATGCAGGAAAGGTATCATCCACCACCACTTCTTCTGGCTTTGCTGCCACCTCTTCTGATCTAACAGCTCAACAGGTCAGTAAAGAATAGATGCCATAGCTGAGCAGTAAATTTGCAATGCATGAACAAATGGTTATTTGTTTTCCCAATTTCATTGTAAAAAAGCATCTAGGTACAAGTATCCTTCCCTTCTTTTGGAGAACTTCTTGAGTGAGAAAAGCCCTTCTAACCACCAACCAAGTGAAACATTTGATTTGTAGTAGGAGCCTTAATCTTCCATAAGCACTTCTAGAGCTTTGAGGCTTCCCGATGTGTTGAGAGACTGTTTTCTTTCTTGTAAAGTCTGTTCACCGAGAGGATGCCATCTTCTGCGAATTTCCATCTTAAAGAATCTGAATTAGAAGTTGTGCCAGTGAAGACCTCTAGTACATTCAACATGTTTGCCACCCTCTTCACTTCCCAGTCGTTAAGGTATCTTAGAAATGTTAGGTTCCAACCTGGGGAGACCAACATTCCCCCACTGTAGCTTCAGGATTGTAGCGTAATAGCATTAAATTAGGGAAGGATTCTTGCAGAGCGGACTGGCTTATCTAGAGATCTTTCCCGAAGAGAGTTCTGAGCCCATTTCCAACATTGATTCTGGTATTTCCTTGTATTTCTGTCACCATATTTCAACAAAGTTGCCCTGGATCTTTGCCTACATGCTATTTCTTTCATGTTTGACTGTCTTCAAATTCCATGTTGAGGGTAAGCCTTGAGGCAATCTCCTCCTCCACTAACAATCTTTGCTGATGTATCCTATCCAACTCAACAATTTGGGTTAGGGTATTTTGTTTCTGAATTTTTAGATTACCTTGGATTGTTGTGCTTCATTCCTTCAGCTTTATTTTCAGTGCCTTTAATTTGGCCCCTAGAATATAATCAGGTTTCCCAGTGTAGTTGAAATATTTCCACCAGGTCTGGACCTTACAATTGGAATCTTTTGTATGTAACCACCAGTTCTCAAATTTGAAGTATGACTTGTTTCCCACTCACCAGTGTAGCAACAATGGTGTATGATCACAGATGACCCTTTATAAGGTGGACTGGCATCATATCCCATTCTTCAGAAAAGAGGAATCTGTCCAGCCTTGCCCCAATGATGTCTATCTCCCTTTCTACAAGTGTATCTGCCCCCCACTAGTTCAGGATCAACTAGTTCCATATCTTCAATATACTCAGAAAAGTCTGTTATTGCTTTGTTAATTCTATTACAACTCTTCTTTCCCGAGGGATGTCTTGTAGTGTTGAAGTGTCCACAGAGCACCCAAGGGCCTGAGGTTAAGTCCCTAGCTGCTCCAATTTCCCACCATGTTTCCTCCTTTTTTGCCTGTCATTACGAGCATAAACTCCTGTCAAGTGCGCACTTGACAATCCTGGTTCTTCCACGTAAAACTGCAAGTAACTGTGTACATGCCCTGACTGCTAATTACTCCTTCCCGTTCCCTTGTGTCCCAAATGATCAGTACTCCACCTCTACTACCACTAGCTTCTAGTTGAACGTAGTTTGACCATCTATTTTCCCACACTTCGTTCATCAATTTTCCAATGTCTCCTTCTAACTTAGTTTCCTGTAATCACACTATATCAACCTTCCAATATTGCAACAATTTTAATTCTTTTTGAGAATTCAGGATTGCAACAATTTTTTTTAACCATACTTCTCTTTTTTGCCCAGTTTAACCCCCTAACATTCCATGATACTATGTTCAACTTCATTGATTCTTGATGGCTAGATATCCCCCCCCCCTCCCCCCCCCCAAAAAAAAAAAAAAAAACTTCTGCGGTAATTACTTATGAATTGGAATCTATCAATAGCCTCTTCAACTCATACACCCCTTATATTTTTATTTTATTGACTCATATTTTCTGCAGTAATTTCTGGTCTGCACATCAATTGGAGGAAAAGTCACATTTTCCCAATCAATGAGGTGAATAGAATCCAACAACTTATAGAAGTCTTGGGAAGAGAGATAGGGCAGTTGCCAACTATCTATTTGGGGATGCCTCTAGGAGCAAAGAGCAAAGTCAAAGAAATTTGGAAAGGAGTGGTGGAGAGATGTGAGAAGAGACTGTCTAGATGAAAAGCACAATACTTGTCAATACTTGTCAAGAGAAGGGAGATTAATTTTGATCAATTCAGTCTTGGATGCCTTGCCAACTTATTTGATGACAATTTTCCCTATTCCAGCTAAAGTAAAGGAAAGAATTGATGCCATAAGGAGGAAATTTTTTGTGGAACAGAGAAAAGGAGTACAAAGGATTCCATTTAGTTGAAGGTAAGACTGTCATCCTATCAAAAAAACAGGGGGCTTTAGGCATCAGAAATTTGACAAAACATAACAAAAGCTTGCTTACAAAATGGCTGTGGAAATTCCCGAAAGAAGTGGAGACTTTGTGGGTGAGGGTGATCCAAGCAAAATATGAGAAGGAAGATTTTTGGAAGACAAAATAAGTATTTTCTGCTTACGGCATCAGTCTGTGGAGGTCAATCAGAAACTTGGGGCATGTTTTCTTTAAAAGAACAAGCTTCAATGTAAAGAGTGGAAGGAAGATCATGTTTTGGGATGATGATTGGTTAGGACATGGCAGTCTCAAGCAACTTTTTCCAGATATTTACCTACTAAATCAGCAACAGGAGTCTACTCTACAAGAAATATGGACTCCTCAAGGGTGGAAAGACTAGCTGAATTTTATGGCACCTTAGATCAGTATACAGGACCAAAGGAAGGAGATGATACTCTCAGATGGAAGTGCCAAGACAACAGTTTATTCACAGTCAACTCTGCTTATAAGAGTTTGAATCAGATGATGACTCAAATCAGTTTCCTGCCCTGTAAGCTTATATGGAAAGTAAAATTTCCCTACAAAGTGACAGTGTTCACTTGGATGGTAGTGAAAGAACAAGCTTCAATGTAAAGAGTGGATGGGATCATGTTTTGGGATGATGATTGGTTAGGACATGGCAGTCTCAAGCAACTTTTTCCAGATATTTACCTACTAAATCAGCAACAGGAGTCTACTCTACAAGAAATATGGACTCCTCAAGGGTGGAAAGACTAGCTGAATTTTATGGCACCTTAGATCAGTATACAGGACCAAAGGAAGGAGATGATACTCTCAGATGGAAGTGCCAAGACAACGGTTTATTCACAGTCAACTATGCTTATAAGAGTTTGAATCAGATGATGACTCAAATCAGTTTCCTGCCCTGTAAGCTTATATGGAAAGTAAAAATTCCCTACAAAGTGACAGTGTTCACTTGGATGGTAGTGAAAGAGGCTGCTCTACCTCAAGAAAACCTCATGAAGAAGGGCATAAAAATGTGTCCAAGATGTTTTTTTTTCTGTGAGCAAAAGGCAGAGATAATCAACAATATGATTTTACACTGTAAAGTGGCTAGCCAACTATGAAACGTGTTTACACTGTAAAGTGTCTAGCCATCTATTGAACATGTTTACTAATTTTAGAGGCATAAGGTGGACTGTGTCTAAAAGGTCAGGTCAGGCTCTAGTAAGCTGGAACTATATGGGGAGTGGTAGCACAGACAAAAACAGATGGAAAATTGTCCCAGCAGTGATATGGTGGACCATATGGAAAGAGAGAAATTCGAGATGTTTTGAAAGTTTCAGCAGTCCTCTTCATAGGATTAAAATGAACTGCATTATCACTTTTTGCTATTGGTGTAGTTCGAAATATATAGATGATCCTGTAGCGAACGACATCTTAGGATCCTTGTAAGATGAGATAGGACCTAGAGATCGATTTTCCTTTTTTGGGTTGCTGAGCCTACTCAGTTGTATGTAGACTCTGTGATGTAAATTTTTGGGATCCCAGCCTTAGTGCTGAAGATTTATATAAAAACTTGTTACCTTTGTCAAAAGAAAAAATAATTCCCCTTTTTTCACTGCACTTTCTTGCTTGTTGTTGTCTATCTTCAACAATAATTCTTTTGATGTTTCTTTCACATCCTTGGAAATCTACTCCAAATTGTCTTCGTTTGTATGCAATCAATTACTCGAGTTTCTCCTTCTCCTAACAGGTTCCCCGTCTCTTCACCGCTATTAGAAATTGTGTTGTCTTGTGTATTGGCCAATATTTCGATGTTTATTATGTGCACCAGTTGGGCTTCTGAATTAGAGCCTTTATATTGGAAAATAGTAATTGGGTCCAGTATAGGCCCAATTGATCTGTTCTTTCAATTTGGCCCAAAGTTGCTGAGGAGACCCTTTTCCCCCTTCCATGTGTTACAGTTTTCAAGCCACCTTCCTTGGATGTCCCCACATGTGACAGCTGTGGAAACGTCACTTCTTTCACCAGAAAGGATTCATGCTATGGATTGTCATCTGTACAACACCTTGAATCCTCCTTCGTCTTTTCTTTCTTTACCATCACCGACGTCTCACACCATATCGGAATTTGGTAGACGAAACCTTCACCGTTAATCTCCATCTCTCTCGGAACTCTTGCTTGATCTCCCTTCACTAGTAACCTCCATCTCTCTCGGAACTCTTGCTTCATCTCCCTTCACCTTGATGCGAGCCCAATGAAGACGAATGTTCAGTGTGGTCTCCTCTTCCATCTCGATAAAGCCTCCGCATCTCTCTTCGCTCAGTTTAAAGATTTCCTCTGACCACAGATTCAGAGAAAGCCCTAAAACTCTGATCCATACCCAGTCCTTCCTGATTTCCACTGGCCAGCATCCCATAGTTGGTTATTACCATTCTAGCTTCAGTGGCATTCTCCTCCAAGACCATTCCCCCTCCATAGCTTGCTATGCTGTCTTTTATGACAGGAACTTGAACAGAAACATGCTGTCATTCATAGCATATACATTGATGCCTCTGTGTCTTCCAGGTGTTACTTTTGCCCATCATCTCATATCGTCCAGTTATGGCATTTCAGAGAAGCCATGTTGAGACTTGCCGTCTATGAACCTGTTCAGTAGATCCCTGTTGAAGGTTTTCGTCTCTCCAGAGATCTTGATGCCACTTGCTCTGTTTCGTATCTTCGCCTTCTTTGTGCTCTCTGTCATCTACTAGACTTGAAGGCATTTTTGTATGAAGATTCAAGTTTCTTAGTAGACACTTGCTGCTGCTCCTGTATTCTTTCTGGTTCATATATAGACTTCGCTATTTTGTGAGCAATATTCCCCCATCCCCCACTGAAATTACTGCTTTGTTTTGTCGTTGTATGGCTATAAAGCTGATGTATCTTCCATTCTTTTTGTTTTTATGAGTGCAAAAAAAATCTCTGAGAAGCGGTCTTTTGTTTTCTATCTCCTAACTACATTTCCCTGTTCCTTTGATGCTTCAATAAATGCTGGTGTTAGCATCTCAGGACTTTATTGGCTGATTTTAACTCTCCGCAATAGGTATCTCCTCTGTTCCAACCATTCGTACAATGATTCTGCTTCCGTTTGACATTTTGTGATCTCATCGACTTAAAAATAGCACTGTAGTAAATGCTATTTTCCCCTGTTGAGCAAGACTTTAACATCTTACTGGAAAAAGTCCCCCTAAAAAGGAAAGTGATTTGAAATTCAAACTACAGGCAGGTTGACCTCGATTCTTGTGCCTGAGCATTTTTCACAAGATATACAACTTAATGATACTCTCACATTCTACTTTTGTTCTTTCCTTTCCTTCTATATTTGACCTCAATAAACTTATGTGGGAACCCTTTTATTTGTTTTGGCTAAAACCGAGGGAAAATAGATTATGTAATCTACAAACATTTTGTCATTCCATTTAGAAACTTCTAGTGCCCCTTTTCTGCAAATAAACCTGTCTGCAGCTAACTCACCTTGAATTTGGCCACACAATGTACAGTGGACTAATATCAATGCAGCTAATATTGGTAAAGATATCTAGGAAGAAGCTTCAATCTTTAATATTTTTAATCCAAATCATCGCTCAAGAATTTCCATTACTAACCCTACCAAAATGTAGTCAAGGAAACCCCTTAATTCAACTCTTAAGTTCAGCATGCAAAATTGCCACAAGTCTGAAGCATCTTTCAGATGCAGCTGCTCTCTCAAAACAGCACGGGTATTGAGCATGCAACAACAGCACCTTTGAGTCGGCCAGTTAAATAAAAAGCATTCATTGGATCGGTCCACTTTCCACATCCCGGTCCATGCAAACGGACACTTTTATAGAATTACTTTACTCATCGAAGCATAAACCATCCAAAACGAGATATATATATATATATAGAGGCAGATTAATGCTATGCCCTTCCATTAGCGCATCAAGACTTGTGCTCACAACCAAAGGATGCACAAAGGAAAGTTTTCACCATGTATCTCAAACACTCAAAAAGTGCAGTATGTTCGGAGATGCAATGCCCAGAACCCATTTAACATAAATGCCAACAACCAAAACAGACTTAGTGAGAATCTATATTAGTCACAAAAGCGAGACTAAAGGCACATTTCTATTATTGTCAAAAATGGAGAGAGCAACACATTTTACATACCAGGCTAAGTGCAGTTGTTCCCAGAAGCAGCATATACACTTTACCCTGCAGCAGTGACCAAATTCCATCACTCATCTCAAGGTCATCAGTTCATAACATCAACCTAGATTAAAAATACATAAAGAAGTGGCAACAAGCAAAGCATTACGAGTAATTTGACTTGATAAATTTTGATTTCATGTGTCACACAGATTTCCTTTGTCGATAAGGTAAGTTATTTTGTTTATGTAAAAGAGGAAACCCCATATACAAGATACCGGTTTCTAGTAAGAACAACCTATCTCTGTACAAATAGGGACCTCATGAGTGCAAAAGGAAATTAGAAACCAGGGACTACCCTTCAAATATATAAAATAATCTGTAATCCCAATCTCCTAAACAAAAGTTCCTCCTTAATGCTACTTAAAATAACACAAAATCATATTAGCATACAAAGTAAAGAATTTTTTTTTACAATGACATCGTATTAGCATACAAACTAACAGAAAAAAAATTTACTTTTGAGGAGCAGAGTACTTTAAATTAAGCACTACCTCAATTAGATGAACATTTGAAGCGCGACTGAGAAGAACAAATGCAAACTCCCCTATTTGAGCCAGAGACATACCAACCTGGACATACCATTCAGACAAAGAACTTGTAATGCAAAACCAGAGGAACAAATACAGAGTTCAACAACTGTTATATATAGGACATTAAACATTTTTTAGGTGGACATAAACAATTCTGAATACATCATTTGGAAACCCTTCACATCCAAACCCTCCTGCCCAGGGGCCACTGTGGTATTCTCCACTTAATCTCCTTGATGACACGGGTCAACCCAAACTCCTGGTTGGAGGTGAACGGGACCTAACCACTAGAGCAAACTCTCTGGCAAAACAATTTGGACTACTTACAAGAAGTGCAGCTTTGTTTGTGTAGCCAAAACCCTTGACCACTGCAGCAACCACAATAGTTTTTATGATGACGACCAATATAACAGCTGCCAGTAAAATATCGATATGATTCCAGAGAAAATGAACATGGATAAGCATTCCAATGCTGGATAGAAAAAGAGCAGCAAAGAAGTTCCGGATTGGTTCAACCTGCAACAAATAAAAATACCACTAAGAGGCAAGACCCATGACATGTTGATATGACACAACAATCTAAGCAGAAACTAAGAACTAGTTTAAGACTGAGAACACAAATTTCAACACGTCTACACTTCTCCTTAAACTGTTGCAGCAACTTTTCACTCAGAAGTGTATGCTGAGGATTCAGGGCTCAACAAAAATGATGATGAATCACCCACTCTTCTTCCACTCATCCCAATCAAAACTAGGATGTTCTCAAAGCTGGAAGACTATTTTCTCATGCCATCATAAATCTCAATCCAATTGGAAAAAAAAGTGCCGGGAACGAAAAATCATGATGGAACAATTGACTAGAGGTGGAGAAAATATTTTGATAAAAAGGGTGCTTGAATCCTTGGAATTTTATTTTTTTTGAAACTGGTATCTTGTGTGTATTTCTATAAATGAACAGGACAGTACATGGATTATACTGAAACCATATATACAATTTGACTATCAAAAAAATGAAGCTATTCTGACAATCTAAATTGAATATAGCACATCAAAATCCCAATCAAAACTAGGATGTTCTCAAAGCTGGAAGACTATTTTCTCATGTCATCTTAAATCTCAATCCAATTGAAAAAAGAAGTGCCGGGAACGAAAAATCATGATGGAACAATTAACAAGAGGTAGAGAAAAGATTTTGATAACAAGGGTGCTCGAGTCCTTGGAATTTTTTTTTTTGAAACTGGTATCTTGTGTGTATTTCTATAAATGAACAGGACAGTACATGGATTATACTGAAGCCATATATACAATTTGACTCTCAGAAACTGAAGCAATTCTGATAATCTAAATTGAATATAGCACATCAAGAATTTATACACTTTCTCCTGAGTAGGAGTGTTGACACCAAAAATAGAAGAGCAAAAGACAGTTCAACTTGATCTTTTGAATAGAGTTGCTCATATTCTCGAAACGTCTGGAATTCTTGTGTTTCCAGATTGTCCACCAAATACTAGCCAGGACAATTCTCCATCTTCTTCTATCCTTTGCCATCAATCCTACTCATATTCTCGAATCATCTGGAATTCCTGTGTTTCCTTTTGTTCATTTCCTCATATTTTGCTCCAGAACTTCAGATCCCTAATTCCCAGTCCCCCCTTCTTTTTGCTCACTGTTTAAACCTACCATTTTACCAAATGAAAGCCTTCATCATCGTTGTTTCTCCTTGCCAAAGGAAATATCTTATGGTTTCTAGTCCTTAAATAACTCTAGTTAGACATGAAAACTAAGATATCATATATGTACGGAGGGCATCTAACACAGCGTTTATAAGTACAAGTCTTCCTCCCAAATACAGATACTGAAGACTTCCACCAAGTTAGTTTCTTCTCACATTTCTTGCTGATACATTTCCAAATTTCCTTGGATTTTGACTTTTCCTAAAAGGCATACCAAGGTAGACAGCGGGCAGGGAAAAATTGAAGTGTTCCATGTTTGTGGATTATTGATAGGTAATAGGGAGCTCTTCCTCCAATTGATGTGAAGACCAGAAACACTATCAAACAGAATCAGAATCACCTCAAAAACTTAAGTTGCTCCTCATTGGCATAACAGAAAATAAAAGTGTCATTTGCATATTGCAAATGAGTAATCTCCGACTATCCCACATCATGATTATTCCTCCTCTGGTACCACTGGCTTCCAGACAAACAAACTTTGTCCATCTTCCTCCCCCGATCTGCTTAATGTGATCCTGACAGTTTACTTCTAATTTGTTTCTTGCAAAATAGTATGTCTGCTTTCCCGTCTAAAAGTTGGTTCTTGACGATTCTTTTCTTCGCATGACCATTCAATCCCCTCACGTTCCATGACTCTATTTTTAGCTTCATTGGTCATTCTGAGTTTTCCCCTTCTCCTTTGATGTGCCTCCACCACTTTTATATTTTATATCAAAGGTGATCAGATTTTTCAGTTCTAGCGGCTTCTGATTTTCTTGATATCTGTGATTGGTTCCATTCTTCTCGCTTGCCTACTCTCATCAATTTGCATAAGTAGTTCAAGAGTTCCCTTCTCTTGCCTTTAAAGTCAATTCCGAACATCTTACTGAGTTTAAGCAAATTTTGTCTTACCCAAGCAGTCGCTACTGGCTCCTTCTCCAGAAGTGCTTCGTCCTGTTCTGCTTATACTACAGATACATCTTCTACTTCCCACAGATCCCCATTGATTGATGGGTCAAAATTTGATAATTGTTGAAGTTGTGCCATCTATTGACGCCATGACTGATTCCATACATACCCTAGATTTCTTCCAGGTCCACCCTCCATGAAGTATCTGCTCAGCCATATTCCTATTGGGGAATTCAATAAGGAAAGTGTTTTCTATCATCTCATAGATGTTAACCCCAAAAACTTTCTTCCAAAGCTGATGATCCCCATTTCCTAACCTCGGAGAGGGTAAGCACCTCAGAGTCAAGATTTTGCCAAAGTTTCCTGTGATACATCAAGCAAACGTCTGTCGTACTTGATTATAGCAGTAGTGGAAACCAACTGGCTTTTGCTTTCTGGAACTTTAAAGGTATATGACTGCCATTTACTGTTCTCAACAACCTTGGCATACGAGTTGTTAGTATCAACCATTCTGTGAGGAGCTTTTGATTTTCTTGGTGGTGAGTAATTAATGAAGTTTCCTATCTTGAGTGCAATGTCTTTCCAACAAGCACTGAAAGCTTCTGGCAGTATAACTACAGCTCTGTCAGCTCCTTTAGAGATGAGACTCATAAATCTTCCATGAGCATAAAACTTCCTTGTACTAAAATACTCTACCGTTTGGATTGGTCCTTCATTCTCCATTGCCTCCCGGAATTCTTGTTGTCGTCTGAGGCTTCTTTCAGGACAAAACAAATCTACTCCATCACTTTTTTGCTAAAAGTTATTCTTCTCATCATGTTTCTACTAGCTCCATCAAATCAAACCAGACTTCCTCGCCAGATGTCCATCTGGGTAATATCGAATGACTTGAAACCGGCATGGAAATAAATCCTATTTTCCCCCATGTTTGTGGAAGGGAGCTGAGGTGAAGGGAGGGAGAAAGCTATCGGCCTATAGCAGAAGGAGATAGCTAAGATTGTTTGAAGTCTCTTAATTACTTAGCTCATTTCTTTTGGGGATTAGAGCTATGAAAGTTGCATTAAAGTTCCTTTCACAGACGTCCTGCTCATGAAACCAAAATGCTTCCATAATATCCTGCTTTAAAATTTCCCAACAGTTGAGGATTAAAACCATAGTAAAGCCATCACACTCTGGGGCTTTATCTCCTACACACAGCTTCAAGCATTAAAAGAATTCCTACCTTTAAAAACTGGTTTCCAATGCCTCCTTTTCTTCCGCTGAAATAGCAGTTTACAAAAGAGCAAGTAGGTCTCCATCTCTCTGTTTCTGTGTAAAATTCTCGAACAAATCAATAATCGCCTCCTTAATTCTTGCTGGATCTTTAGTTGTTTCCCTTTGAATGACCAACTGATCAATGTTGTTATATCTTGTGAGCATTCGCTGTGTTGTGGAACAACTTAGTGTTTGTCTCCTTTTTTAGCCATAGTGTCCTACTGTTCTAGACCTGTCAGCAAGCAATTTCTTCATGTTTAATGAAGTCCTCACACACTACCAATATTGCAGTCTTCTTTACAACCTCCTCCTCAATCATAATTCTATTATCAAGAATTGCATCCAATTAGGCAATTTTCCAAGTAGACTCAGATTTTCTTGGTAACTTTTACTCCATTCCTTAAGCTTTGCTTCGAGGGCTCTAAATTTGCAAGCCAGAATGTATACTGGCTTTCCTGAATTAACAAAAGAGCTCCACCAGTTCCTGATCCAGTCAACAAAGCCTTGAATCCCCGACCATCACTTTTCAAACTTGTAATAAATTTTCTTTGCTCCCAGATCCCGCATTGCAATGCTACTGGAGAGCAATCTAAAAACACTCTCTGCATTAGGCATTTAGGCTCTGATATTACTGTACTAGTTGGTCATTCTTCTGAAATGAGAATTTTGCCAATCCTAGAGGCAATCAGTTGGTTACCACCTTCCAAATTAAGATCAATCAGGTTCATGTCTTTCTATCAAGTCAGAACTCCATTTATCTTTCTGTGCAACTCCTCTCTGAGGGGTACCCGGAGATATTAAAGCCCCGACACTTCCATCAAACCACTGACTGCACTGCTTTCATCATAGACTACTCTTCTTCCAATGTCACAATTAGGAGAACCAGACACCTAATATGGCATGAGAAATCCTGAAGTTGTGCTTCAAAATTGCACAGGATAGTGTGAGCTCCAATTTACAGAACCTGCACTTTCTATACTCTGCTATCCCACAATTGGAAAATTCTCCCTCTTGTGCCACTAGCTCTTGAAGTTGCATACTCACCCATCTACCTCCCCAAATTTGTTTAACCAAATCCTTCATGTCCCCCTCTAGTTTTGTTTCCGGGAAACAGATGATGTATGCATTCCAATCCAGAACCAAACTTCACTAGTCTTCTTTAATCCCTTCCATTCAGCCCCCTTACATTCAATGATATTAATTTGAAATTCATGGATCAATTGCCATCAAACTCCTCCCTAGCTTTTATGGCCATTGCTTTTGAATTTCACATCAAAGGTAACTAGGCCTTTCTGTTCTTAAGCACCGTTGAACCTAGATTTCTTAAAATCAGTGACCTGCTCCATCTTTCTTGTGTTTGCTACTGTGTATTTGCATCAAAAGCTCTGAGACCTCCTCTTCATGCCCTTGAAAATTCACCCCTGGCATTTTGCTCAACTTGATTAAATATTGGTGTACCAAACTGTTTCATCCATTCTTTGTCAAGAGAAGAGGCTTCTTTTTGTATGAGAAGGGTTTCCACATCTTCCAACTCCCAGTTTTCATCTTCTAAAATTGAGTACACTCGACCAGTTTGAGCATGCAGTTCGAGAGGCATACACTTCTCATATCCGACACCAAGCAGATTTCCTTGCACCAGGATGCAATCCAAAGCGCAGCACAAAACATCTTTTAAGCCACTGGCCACATGAACATTGCTTCTATATCTGGAAAAAGTGAGAGCACAAAAAGTGATGCTCATCAAAGCTCGATCCCAAACTCTAGAAATTCAGAACATGAGGAGTATCGGGTGGCCCAAACAATCCAATAGATTCGAACAACTGGTGTTTGTAACTTAAATGCCTTTAGATAAGGAAGAGGATTCTGAAATTCAATTTTAAGGATTTTAAATTTCACAGTAATGTTTTCCAACTTTTAGGTTTGAACCAATCAAGATGTTGACAAATTTTAGTTGATAAAGAACTACCAGGGTGATCATGAATTCTGAACTCTTTGAATCCAGTGGAAATTTTAACAATTTGATACAGCTAATTGTGAATTGAGGATCTTAAACCTTGAGAAGCATACGTCCTTTATATTCATGCCAACTTATTCTATTTCATGAGAAAAAGCAGCCAGTAAATCAATCAACTACGTATCCAATCCCAAACTAGTAAGATCAGTTATATAATTATCTGAATCTAGCTCTCTATTCATCGTAGGCTTTATACCAAAGGATTGAATTCTAAGGTAAATTAGGAGTTCTTTAGGAAATACAGATTCTCCAAGTAACCCACTTCTCTTTTCTTATTCTTTTTCTTTTGATAAGGTAAATAACACTTCTCTTTACACGGATGTACACTCCCTATGCAGGCTGAAAAGGACCCTGGCAAACAATGGAAGATTTAAGACCAAAAGGCAGTGGGCGCATGTAAAGTACATAAGGTTGTACCTGTTCAAGAGTATGCTGAGCCAGATCAGTAGTTGATATCATCACTCCAGCAGCAAAAGAACCCAGTTCGAGACTTAAACCCAGCTTATCACTACACTGACAAGATGCAACAACTCATTTTAGTCAGCCATGTGTGCTTACTACTAGCATATGCTTGAGAAGTGATTAATTGAAAAGCTATCAGGATGAATAGTTAAAGGAAAAAGGGAAGTCAGAGCGATAGGAAAGGAAGACAAACCCCAGCAACAAGCAAGCAGAAAGCCACAGATGCAAGTTGGTACAGTTCATTAGTCTGCATATTGTTCTAGTAAATCAGAGATTCAAAGTAACCCAAGGAAACAAATGTGACAGTAATCATGCGTTATTCAAGCAGAGGTAAAGTCACCTGTGATGATAGGCCTATCATCAGTCTAAGAAACCAAGGTACGCAAGTGCGGCATAACATTGACAAAATGGTCAAGAACATTAACAGAACCACCAATCTGTAATCCAAAGCACGTCGCAAATTAAGGGAATGATGTATCTCTAAGACATTCAATAAATTTAATAGCGTCGGAAAGTCGAAACGAAAATCAGGAAAAAAAAATTGCAGGTAGAGAGGGATAATCAAAAACAGAATTTTAATTGTATATACAACAAAATGAAATGAGCCCCAGAATATTTAGTTCGTCTCTCTTTTATATCAGATATACGTCTTAGGCCCCCATAAAAATATGCTTATGGTGAAAATAACATCATGACATAGCATGACAAGTTAGTTCGGAAGATCAAATGAAAGCTACACCAGCAATATCAGGTCCAAACTAAGATGAAATGACTCAGTAGATGACTTCTATTTGGTTACACAAGTTCATCTAATGCAGGACAGAGTTAACCCAAACGTGTCTACATTCATGCTTAGGGCCCGTATGGCCATAGATTTCTCAAATAATATTTGGGAAAAGTTTTAGCTAATAATGTTTGTCTATACAATTTGTCATTATTTGGCAAATATCCCAAATACTAGTTTTTTCTAGTTTATGGGTCAATTCTCATTATTTGGGATCTTTTGATAATTGAAATTTTACACCTCATTATTTGGGATCTCTTGATAATTGAAATTTTACACCTAAGTCCTAACATTTATCTTTTACAAAAACACCCTCTACAGTAGTTGTTTGCGTTGTATTACATAATTTTTTACGTCAGTTAATATTAAATGATGATATGGTTATTGATTAAAATGATGAACAATCGGGTCAGGGTAACAAAGTCATGTGCTTTGTCTACTTCACGATGTATGGAATGATACATGTTGCACTCACTCCAAACTACCACATTGCTCTAGTGTCATGGACACTATTTGTTATTGTTGCAACGAAGATCCAATTGACTTGTAATACAAATTTATGGTTGGTTTTGATAGTTTTAAAACTTATGGGTATAAATTATATTTTTCTAAAAAAGTGAAATATATTTCCTAAATACTATGGCCAAACACATGGTGAAATTTCACTCAAATTTTCACTCAAATAATATTTGCCAAAAATATTTGAAAATCTATGGTCAAACGCTAGCTTAGTGTTGAGAATACAATTAACAAACAAAAGTGTGTTCTCTCTAACAACTTAAGCTTTTCATGAGATGGTCACACACTTCAATGTGGAATTAGTGCAAGCTGAGTCCTAAGATCGAATCTCCATCGCCACCCATATCAAAAAGAATTTTCACATGCTTGGCCCATGAAAAAGTACCAGGCCCGCATGTTAGGGGCGTGTTGAAAATACAATTAACTAATAAAAGTGTGCTCTCTCTAATAGCTTAAGCTTTTAGGAGATGGTCACGCACTTCGGCACTTGGTACACTAGAAATTAAGATAAGGTAACAAGAATAACTTGAGAATTCTTTTACTTGGCATCAGAATCTGATACGGATGATGAATCATTAGCACACTGGAAGACTATGTTAGAGCAAATATGGCATAGCATAATGGTGTTTCGTGTTCCAAAATAAAACATTTTTTTTATAAGGTAACTTTGGCGTTCCAAAATAAAACTTTCCAAACACTTTTGCTTACAATTTTGCCATGGAAGCCATTCCTTGAAAAACACCAGAAGTACCACCAAGAATAGGAAGCAGGGCAAATAGCAAACCTACTGTACAATCCTGTCAGCGAGAAACATCTCAAAAGTTCAGAAGGAAGTACTGTAAATGAAAAAGAACAGGCAAATAATAAGGCGTTGAAAATTGTTAGCATAACTAATAACCCATCCATGCAAAAAAAAAATGTGGGAAGTATCTTTTTATGATAGTAATATATCATCAAAAAAACAAAGATGGGTAGGTAAGTCGCACCTGCAGAATAAGGATTCCAACCGTTACTTGCCCATAGAGGGTGTTAACACTATTTCTTTCCATCAAAAATTTCAATACCTGTGATTCAGAAAGATACAATATTCTTTAGTAAGTTAATATAATTTACTAGCTACTGCACAATGTGTTTAATTCAATACTTTTGCGAACAACGCTGAACGAGTGGATTAAAGCTTTTTAAAATTCAAGATAAGGTTCCTTCACAATACAGAATCTGCTTATATGAAATGCTCATTCATTCCTTTCCCACTTTCCCATTACATCTATAATTATCAATTTAAGTTGAAAAATGTGTTTGGAGAAAGAAACCTACACAGGATTGAAATAGCCTGAAATCCCAGAGGATATCCAAGATATAATGTTTCTCTTGTAAAAGGGAATTCCGAAACAATGTTTGAAATTACATCTTTAGCAACAAATTAAGCACAACACTAGGTGCAGAGGAAATGTAAGATTTTATAACCTTTTCTTGTGATCTAAAATTGAAGTGAATTGAGCCCATTCCACAATTTCTCTAATATAATTGTTTCTAAGATTATTCATTCAGAATGCATTTCTCTAAAATCCGATCACTTCCACTAAATTGTAAGCTTTTGCCATCTTTTCTTGCGATTGTGCCAGAATTTAAGTGAATTTCATTCCACAATTTTCTGTAATGCACTTGTATAAAATTGTTCACTCAACATATTTCTCTTTAAAATTCTATCACTTCCAGTTCCAGTCTTCCAACACTAAACCAAGCTCCTACTATTTAGTAAAAACAACTGTATAGAGTCAAAAACACATGAAACCCAATATAAAAAATGATTTGTGCATTCTTAACCAGATGGGATTTGGAGGTAGATGGTTGAAGTGGATTGAGAGATGCATTAAAATTGTCAGGTTCTCTGTTCTTGTAAATGGAGAACTTGTGGGGGTTTTGAATTAGAGAGGGGACTGAGTCAGGATGACCCTCTATCCCCCTTCCTTTTCATTATGGCAATGGAGGGTTTTGATAGTATGACGAGGATTGCAGCACAAAACACATGGATTCAGGGCTTCAAAATTAGGTATATGCTGTCACTAATCATGTGTTTTATGCAGACGACACCATCATCTTTTGTGAACCTGTAGCAGAACATATCAGATATATTAGGGTGATACTGGTACTGTTTGAGGCAGTCTCTGGGTTGAAGGTCAATAGGGGGAAAGTAGTCTCTTTCCTGTGAATGAAGTCCCGCAGATTCAATCACTAGCGGGACTATCGTGATGTAGTGTGGAGACACTGCCTACTATGTCAAATGGAATTGTTTAGTATCCTTACTTTTTTGGTGTTAACAGTTGTATATAGTAGATATGGACAGATTGTAAATTTGACAGGAAGCTTGTAACTGACACTTTTTGTGGTGCCAAGCATGCCCTTAATGCTGAAGAATACAATCTTACCAATTTCAAAAGAATAAGTGACATTTCCCTACTTCTCCCTAAATTATAAAATAGTTTTTTTTTGTTACTGGTTGGTTAACTAATCCATTTCTCTCGTAAAATACACCTTACATGAACTTGAGTTATTTGGCAGTAAAATCTGTATTTCTCACCCCTTGTGAAAAAGATGCTATAAGAGTCCATGAACAAATACGTGGTGGTCCACTAAATTCAATTGGAAAATAAAAGTCAAAATCCACAAGGACTTGCCACTGCTGTCGAAGACATTGATAAGAAGACACCAACAAAAACACCCTCAGATGCTTTCCCACCACATAACTGCAAATGAACAACCATGGTCAAGACGAATTGACATCATTGCAAGAAATAATCATACAGCTTATATTTGCATATTTGGAGCCTCCGACATTTAGATAAAATTTAAAAAGCTTTTCAGCGATGCAGATTACTAAAGCTGAGCTAGTCATAACAATAGCTCCAAAGTAGCTGAAAACCAAAATTGCATACCGAGGCTGTTATTCCACACAAACACATGAAAAGAATTATCTGGAGAGACCCCCCTAACACTGCAACAGCTCGAACGATGCGAAGCTGCAATTACAAAGTTAAATTGTACTTCCTCTTTCAATTTATAAGATATAACAACAAAATGTCTCCACTTCAAGAAACAAAATCCAACCTTTGCTGTGGAAAACTCTAAGCCCAGTGCGAAGAGAAGAAAGATAACACCAAATTGGGCAACTGTTTCAACCTGAAAATTTACCACAGTAAATAAGAAAAACATAAATTTAAGAAGACTGAAAACATATTAAAAATACAACACCAAACCATTAGCACCACAATATTATATGACCGTCCAAAGACAGATGGTATTAAATTACCATAAGAATTATAATATGCTTTATCATAGCCAGAAAGCAGTGACACCCAAGAAACACCTTTAAACCGCTGGTGATAATCACAGGAAGCAGAGCAAAGTGTTGCAACTTCTACACATCTCAAAACACTCAAATGAACATAATGTCTCATTAACACTTAATAGAACAAACCAGAACAGCATGCGAACATGTACAAGTCAATAAATTCATGATAGATGTTTCTGTAATATCACATGAAAATTTATGCTCTTAGTTACTTAATGGCTGAATGGCCTAGGAGACCCTTATTCTGGATTGCCATCTCAGTCCTTGTACTCCACAGGGTTTCATCCAGATCCCTAAACCTGTTCAAAACAGGTATTTTAACAACCTCTGACCATTTACGGAGCATGTGGCAACTTATCGACTGAGTTGGATAAAATACGTGATTCTCACACGTATTAGGTGTGTGATATGGAAATTATACCAAAAATGACTAAAAGAAAAAAAGAAAAGATAAGGACAAAAAGTAAAATCTTTTCATCTTCTCCCTCGCCCCTTCCCCTTTCTCTTAGTCAACGCCGCTGCCAAAGTCCTCTCCACCTTCGCTCCATCGCAGCAAAATCACAATCTTTTCATCGCTGATCATCACTTCTGCATGCATTCACCTTAAACTCATGAACACAATACAACCAATTTTTATTATCAACAACTAACCCACCAATGACCACCATTTCTCATCTTCTCCAAAAAATTGGATCACTCGAAGTCTAAGATGGAAATGCCACAGCAAGGACATTTTTACTGTAAGCTCAGCCTATAAAGACACGAATCAGATGAGTTCTCAGATCAGATATTTACCTTGGAAGCTTATCTGGAAAGTAAAGATTCCATACGAAGTTGCTGTTTTCACTTGGTTGAGTGTGAAAGAAGCTATTTTAACTCGGGAGAATCTACAGAAGCATACATATATGCTCCCGATGTTATTTATGTCGGGATATGTAGAGATTAACCATCTGTTTCTTCATTGTAAAGTGGTTAGACAGCTTCGATTTCTATTTACCAGCTTCAGAGGCATAAGGTGGAGGATGCTGGGAAGAACAGGGGAGGCACTAACTGGCTGGAATTTTGAGAATGGGGTAGCACTAAGAAAGACAGATGGAGAATCGTCCCAGCAGTAATATGGTGGACAATTTGGAAAGAGAGAAACTCTAGGTGTTTTGAAGGCAATAGTAGTTCTCTGCAAAAGTTAAAAATGAATTGCTTATAAGTTTTTGGTATTAGTGCAGCTCAGAGTATATAGATTACCCAATATTATAGAAGACATCCTAGGATCCTTGTAAGATAAGATAGGATTAAGTGTTAGTGTATTGTTTTTACTCTTTTGGGTGTAGACTCAATGATGTAATTTTGACTCCCAGCACTATGTGCTGATGATTTATATAGAGTCTGTTACCTTGTCAGAGATTAAAATAAAAAAGACATTGTCTGTTGTGGATGTGCGTTGGAAGTTAATTCAAGTATTTAGTTATTTATTTAGTAGCTTTATTTATTATTCTAGGATAGGGTTTATATTATGGATTAGGTTAAGTTATAGTTATTAGTTTGGAATACGATTTAGGTCTCCTACTTTCATAAGAATTAGATTTTCTATTGATGTAATAAGACTCCTATTTAAAGGGGCTTTGGATGAATAAGTCGGTAAGTCATATTTAAGAAAAAAGCAAGAGATCGGAGTTCTCTCCTCCATTGAACTCTAAGGTTTCAGCCTCCGTTCAACGAGCTGAAGTTATATACAAAAATAGGTCGATCTAGGAATTCGAACAAAGGCAAGGGAAAGCCGAAGTCAATTGATTTTGATTTTCCTGTTCATCGTCCTGTGACTCGATCCTTCTCTAAGAATCCTAACAATTTGCTATCAGAGCCTAACACAATGGGCGATGAGATCAGTTCCAAATTTCGCGATGAGATCAATTCCAGGTTTCAAGAACAACATGCGATTACAGAAACACTAATGGACTCTAAACTTGCAGCTATGGAATAACGTCTTGGTGAAAGATTTTGTCCAAGTTATTCAAGAACAATTTTCTAGACTGGAAATTGGCTCTACAACACCAGCAGACCAGGGGGCAGAATCAAGTAATACCCTGACAATTGGTAAATGAACAAACCCGGCTCCTAGAGGCAAAATACACTGCCTATTCAACCAACTACCATAATCGTCAAACTAGTGGTAATTCCAATTCGACAATACCAAGGTATGCAAGGATGGATTTTCCTACTCATGATGGAACCAACGACCCACTAACTTGGGCATATCATTGTAAGTAGTTTTTTGAAAATCAACACACAGCAATTGCAGAAAAGGTTGGAGTGGCTGGATTTCACATGTTGGGAGAAGCACAATTATGGCATTATCAGCTTAAACGAGCAAAGGGGCCAATGAGTTGGGGAGACTTCTAAAAACAATGTTTCTTGCGATTTGGACCTCTGAAAGCAGCAACCCGGTAGGTGAATTAGTCACGCTCCGACAAACTGGTAGAGTTGAACTTTATCAACGTCAATTTCAAAAAAAGTTGGCTAGGGCTGATGAGCTTATTCAAGAACACTTGCACGTGGGAATATTTATGGCAGGGTTGGATGATTCAATCAAATTGGACGTGCAATTGCTCAAACCACCTGACTTATCAACGGCTATGAGTATAGCCAGGGCGTTAGAGCAAAAAAAAACAACTGCAAAAAGGGCAACAGTCGCAGACAAGTCTTAGCACCACAGTAAACTTGGCAAAATCTGCCACGAGTTTAATCAATTCATTTAATACCAACACCAGCAACCAGACCCCTTTGGTCAAGAGATTAACTAGTACAGAAATGGCAACAAGAAGAGCTAAAGGATTATGCTATGATTGTAACGAAATATTTTCAGCCGGTCACTAGTGCAAACGACTTTTTTGGCTGGAATTGGATGATTCAGCAGACAATATTCCAGAAGTTCCGGATGATTTCCGTGAAATTCGAGCTTAAGGACAAGATCTTTCAACGTAAGAGGGGGGGTAATGTTGTGGATGTGTGTTGGAAGTTAATTCAAGTATTTAGTTATTTATTTAGTAGCTTTATTTATCATTCTAGAATAGGGTTTATATTTCATAATTTTATATGGATTAGGTTAAGTTATAGTTATTAGTTTGGAATATGATTTAGGTTCCTACTTTCATAAGAATTAGGTTTTCTATTGATGTAATAAGACTCCTATTTAAAGAAGTTTTTTATGAATAAATCGGTTAAGTCATATTTCAGTAAAAAGCAAGAGATCGAAGTTCTCTCTTCCATTGAACTCTAAGGTTTCAGCCTCCCTTCAATGAGCTGAAGTTATATACAAAAATAAGTCGATCTAGGAATTCGAACAAAGGCAAGGGAAAGCTGAAGTCAATTGATTTAGATTTTCCTGTTCATCGTCCTGTGACTCGATCCTTCTCTAAGAATCCTAACATTGTCACATAACTGAAGAAGGCTTCAACAAGATTCACTCATAGAAAAATATACACTTCGTTATTTTCATTATAAAACTCCATCGAATAAATATTTGAATTTTTCTATTACACTCGAGCATGGTTGTAGAGGATCAGTTGGTGGATCTGAATTTTATCGGAGTTCCAGCGAGAACTTCGGTAGCTATTCGCGGATTTCTGCGTAATTTTGGTGCCGATTTCTGATAGTAATTTTATTTCAAAACAAATTTCATGGATTAAGCTCAACCAGCTATGGTGGATCTGAATTTTATTGGGTTAAGTGGTTGAAGAATGGTGGCAGATGGAAAGTATGGGTATTTGAGTTTGTGCAAGTTGAAGAATGGAGGAGAGATGATAGAGGCAGATTAAAGTCTGAATTTTAGAAAAAATAATGACATAACATACTTTTTCTTTTTAAAATATTTTCTGAAGAAGTTCAGGGCTCGGGATCATAATCCAGATCAAGTACAAGGGTCTCCCAAGCCATTCCGCCTTAATTGAAGATAACTTGAGATTAAATTGATTGATTATTCAAACGATTAATTTACTTATTTCAAAAAGACATGAAATCAACATACCTGCACCATTTCACTGATAATGTTAAGACCACCAGGTCCAATAATTGAGCCCGCCAGCAAATATCCAGTGATAACCTGCACGACATTAGTAGCATATGCTACAAAGTAAGATTGATTAAAGAAGTCAAATAAACATAAATCCACAAGCCAAACAGTTCAGATGCAGAAGATAGCGAAAGAAGCTATTGCATTTATCAATCAGAAACCAGCAAAAGAGTAATTATCAGACCGGTTGTCCAGCGCAAGCGAAGGCAATGCCACCACAAGTTGCAGAAACAATGACAACAACAAGATCAGATATCAATCTGCCAATGGAGTTAAAATAAATCATATTGATTAACACCCTAATAAATTTTTCTTTCTATTACACAGTTTTAAAGTACCGTAATAACCAGGATGTGGGAAAGAGGAGTAAGCTAACCTTAAATCTAGCTGCAGTACTGGAAACTTTGACTTCGGATTAGACATGATAAAGACATTATCCTGATGGGAGCAGGGGGAGGCATCAGTTAGTGACTTGTGTCATCAGTAATCCATAATCATCTTACTGTGGAGCACAAAGGTAGTCTTCTCCAAAAGAACTTCCATCGATGCAAGATTACCTTTCGATCTATCAAAGTAGGTGTATCTTCTGCTCCATTGTCATTATCCAGGTTGAAAACAGTGTGCAACTGGAATGACCTAGTAAAAAACATCCATTTTCTGATATCATTGGGACCTTCAAGGAAGTAGTATTGCATATAATGAATCATAAGATAGCATGACGTACTTTTCCTCATTTGTCTCGTTCTTCTTGAACTTGACCCTACCAACCCTAGCAACGGTTTCCAGAACTGCCTGAGAAATGAAGTGCTTCAGAAATGCATATTCCACTGTACTTGGAAATAGGTCATAGTCAAAAAATGAAACTGAAAAGAGCAAATAAGACTTCTCTTATATTGCTTTTCTAAATTGCAAGTTAGGTAGTGAGATGCTAACAAGACTAACAAACTAAGAAACTATGCAATGTTCTAAACACTGACTTTTGCAATAACTCGAAAGGACATACTACGACTACTTTGGAGAATTATTTTCTTAATCAATTAGTCATTTTACTTGAGCAACTCATATTGAAATCCTTCCTGAATCAAAAATAACTAATGTGTGATCAGAATGTGACAAAACTCACTAAGGGACAGAATTAAGGAGCCAGTACGTCGGGAAGTCCTAAGGACAACCCATTGACATTTCAAGCTGTTGCCGGCTCTTATGTGGCTGATGAATAACCACCGACTGTCCTTATTTCATCGATTTCATACCAAAGTGGTATTGTCTTTACAAAGGAGTTCTGAAACAAACTCTTGGACCTCCCGAGGTCTAACTAGGCAAGTAGGTATGTCCACTTTCCATGAGAATGTAAAAGAAATGTAACGGCGCCAGTGCCAGGAACGTTGGTGATGAAACTTCTAACGACAAGTGACAGCAAACTAATTGGTGTTTCTAGACAAACATTGATGATTGCTTCATCCTGTCAAGACCAAACTCTTGTTGTGATCAAATAAATTATTTGACTATTCGATTGAGCATGAACGCTGAGATAACAAGTTCACCATAACTTGGACAATGGAGAAAAAGTTTATAGTGAAAACAATGATCCAAACAGTAAGTTGTTTCTATCTACAGCTAACAACTATGATGTCAAGCACGAAAGGGAGAAAGAAGACAGAAATTAATTTGAATTCATGAATAAATACATCTAAGATGGTTCCTTAAGTAGAATTTTAGGCTACATGAGATAACGGCAAGTTCCCTAATTATTAAACAACTATTACATCTAATTTTGAAAAAAAACGAATATGTAAAATGAATCTTGGCACGCTTTAACATCAAAAGAATCTAGCAAATGAATACATATAACTCCTTAGAGAATATATCAATATGTTACAGATCAACAATCCGACCTACAAACTCCAATATATCCAGCAACCTATAGGAGTAAATAACGTAAAGATTATAGCAATTAATTTCAAGATAAAGCCCGATATGTTGAGAAGTTCAAATCAATATCATTTACTAGAACATGGCATCCAATTATTCTTACAGTTTCCTTGAGACAATAACTTAAAAGGAATATTGCACACCTCTTGCTCTGCGACACTATTGTTGAAGCTCCCGTGATCGATTGCTGAAACAAAAGTAATAGTATGAGATATAGACGGGCAGGAACAGGAAGAGTGAAAGACACATGTGTGAATTATCAAAAATAAATTAATCAATCAACTATCTCAATCTCAAAGAAGTTGAATTGAGGTAAGTCGTATTACCAAATAATTTCCCTTTCAAAGCAAATTAAGGGTTCTTAATAAGCTAGTGATAGCCTAGTGGAAGGACACTTCACCTCCATCTTTGCGGTTTGGGCTTCAAGTTATAAACTGGAAAAAGTTGTAATGGACCACGTTAACTCCTGATGTTTAGGGTATGGGGTTTATCATATAAGGAGAAAGAAAAAGAGTAAGTTGGGGTTCTAAACCTATTATGACCATTTCATAAGATTAAAAAGAATATCTAAAGCACCAAACATAAAAAGTAGATACCTTACGTTTATAAAAGCATCTCTGAGAACAATCAATCAAATCTAGAAACACAATTACATTGACACATTACATATACATACATTTATATGTACTAGTTTCTCAACAAGTTTGTTGTACGTTTAACTGAGTTATATTGTACACATATTTTGTAAAGATAATATGAATATCATTCAAACAAAACTTATGATAAATAATTACACATAAAAGAAAATTTTCAACGCGATGAATTGTGTATATAATATAATAAATCACATCTCACTTGATTTCTTGGCATACTCCCTACCATCACTTTCCATTGCTTTCTAAAATTAAAAATCTAGAGACCTTTTTTCCTACAAAGCTTAGGGCAAATAAAATCTCCTAATTACAATGCGCTAGATTTTTTTTCTTACTCCATCCTCCTAACATTTTTTTCTAATGGAGAATATAAATAGTTTTGATAAAGCAACACATAATAAATGATCTCACCCATTATGATCCTAGCAGGACTTCTTTAACAAATGTTATGTAATGGATATAGAATTAATCTGGCAAAATCATGAACATAGCAGCAACAAACAAGACCGTTGCATTTTGCGATACACAAAATTGTCAAAAATACAAACTTATCAAACCTGAATTAAAAGATACGAGAATGGTAATATACACCTAATCTTCTTCCACTATCAACTGAAGACAAAGCAAGATTATACAAATTATGGGGAAATGCTCTTATTATGAGTCTTAAGGCTGTACTGTTTGGAGTAAAATGGTGTTTTGGAAACGGGATTACTCAAGTAATCATTGAACCGAACTCTCAGGTTTCAGTTAAGAGAGAAAGAAAGGAATTTGAATGTGGAAGATAATTTTGCTTAAATATGGTAGATGGCATAACAGGCTGGTTGCAATTTTCAGTATTGCTTTAGGGAAAGAATGCATCAGCTGATCAACTTGCTAACATGGGGAAGAAGCTGAAGATCAGTACCATCTTTAATGATGCTATTTCCTTACCTTCAGAAATTATAGGATCAATGAAGAACAATCAGAATTCACGGTCCAGACTTCCATTTTAAACCCAAATAAAGTGGTGTCATAGTTTATAATTGCAGTTGAGTATCCTTTTTGCTTCAGTTTTACTATGTATAAGTAGATCATTTGTAATATTTCCAATAACTTCAACGCAAATTGTTATGGAACAACTCCCTGTAGTTTCCCTATCTATCTATTAACGCCAAATCTAAATTTTAGTAATGATTACATCTTTTACAACTCCACGAAAGACATAATGCGCATAAGAGTAGGCAGATGCTACTGCTAAAGCTGACGAGAAGTCAAACTGCAGTTTATCTATGGTTATGGAATTACAATATTTCTTACATGTATATATCAGGTTCTCTTTAGAAAGGGAAAAGGTCATTGTTTTCATTTGTTTCTCTGAGGTTGAAATGATATATCCCGTGGTTGTCTCAAGTTTGGAGTGGCCCAGTGGTTTGGACTTGGGACTTCCATTTTGGAGGTCTCATGTTCGAATCCCCTTGCTAGCAAAAGCAAGGGGTTTGACTTCTGGGTCAAGCTCGCCGCACCGGGCTTGCCTAGTGCGGGTTACCTCTCCTATGTGGTTTGCGAGCTATTGCATAGGAGTTGGGGTTTTAACCTGTGCGCACACAAAGGGTAGCGGCTGCGGATTTCCCTTGTTATAAAAAGAAATGATATATCCCAGGATATTGTGGAGAATTTTGATCAAGTCAAACCACATGAATTGCTTGTTTGGTCTAACAACTTCATATATTAACCTTTAGGGCATGTTTGCACGTTTGTAATACCAATTCAGGAATTAGTTGTGAGCCTAAGGGTGCCATATTCTGCAGGATAATGAGAGGATAATGAGAGAAATGTTTTCTAACTCCCTTATTGCAGACATCATGCTACGATGTCCTTGACTTATTAACCTTCGCTAATAAATGATGTAATTCCTTATTTTGATTGGTTAACTATAAGCATTTCTTTAGCCAAATATGTGATAAAGGACTTATTCCTTTGAAGCAACAAACTAAATACGTGCCTGACATTTGTTATGGTTGGCTCACAATTTCAAACAATTTCCTGTTAGTCTCAGATTGCTATTACCAATTGGCAGGGGTTCTATCATTATTGAAATAGTTGAGTTGATGACAACAGTTGCATACTATGCATTCTACTGAAATCTAAGTCCGCAATCTAGCATAATTTAAGTTTTTGACGTAAACCATAATGAACATGATGGAAATTATCAGAACTGCTGAAACTTAAAAAGAACCGGAAACTTCTTCACCCCACAATACTACTTCAGTCGACACTAATACAAGGATGCACAGAAGATTATCCGGAGAAGAAGTCTATGATATTTGTAGGGATAAGCATATACATAGGATAGTATGTGAACCAAAAAGAATACAAGGATGTGGAGCAATGTTATTCCATGCAAATTTCATGTGATAAAGGTAATATTGGCCTGAAAATTGTGCATAAAGCAAAATCAAGAAAACAGTGCAGAAGAAGGTTTGATTAACATAGGTAGCATGTTGGTCTGAGAAGGTGAATCATGGAATACCTATTTGTTTACTGCAGAAGTTGGAGGTGTATCATGGAATACCTATTAGTTTACTGCAGAAGTTGGAGGTATATCATGGAATACCTATTCGTTTACTGCAGAAGTTGGAGGTGTAACATAGAATACCTATTTGTTTACTGCAGAAGTTGGATTTTTTATAGAAGTTGCATTCTATGTTTGGTTTATTTGTAAAGAAAAAAGGAAAGTTGCGTCTATTTGAACTTGGAAGTGACAACTCTTGATGTAAGAGTTTGATGCGCGGCAAATGAGTGTGTATTGCGACGGTGTGTTCAATTAGATTTTTTTTAATTAAGTTAGGGTATTTATGTCATTTAACTTTTAATTTAGGGACTTCATACTTTTAAGGTAATATAGAAGATATAGATATAGGTATAGAAGATGTATTGTATTGTATTGTGACGTATTGTATGTGTATGTATATATGTGTATAAAAGTGCCTTTACAAGCACCAAAATTGTCACTCAAGTAAGTAATTCTATTCAACTGTTTCTTAAAAGAATTCCCTTAACACAATTAATAGTTAAAGTTGTAAAACTGACAACCTTGTTGAATTTGGTGTTGGGGTCTGGAAACACATAAGCAGTTTCCAAGATAATTTCTTCAAAGAAGTATCCTTCAAGGCTAGTAATGGTCTCAAGATCAGATTTTGGAAAGACAAATGGCTTGGAAACTCAAGACTAAAAGACTATTTGCCCTCCTTGTTCCAGATAGCCTCCAACAAAGAAGCAACTATAGCCCAGTACAGAGACAACAACTATTGGACTCCTATTTTCAGAAGGAACTTTCAGGATCAATGACTTCCTTTCCCTCTTATAAAATCTACAAAATACTACACTGGTGGTTGAAGATCAAGACAAGATTCTTTGGGGTAATTCTAAGGAGAAGACCTACACTGTGAAAGAATGCTACAAAAATATGAGCTCCCAGAATGGCATTCTCCTATTTGGCCTTGGAAACATGTCTGGAAAACTTGGCAACCCCTCAGAGTTTCTTGTTTCACCTGGACAGCCCTGAAGGAAGCATGCCTAACACAAGACAACCTCAGGAGAAAATGTGTAATCGTCATCAACAGATGTGTCATGTGCAAGCAAACCAAGGAGAGTGTTACACCTTTTTTTGCACTTCCCTGCAGCAGTTATCCTATGGTATTTTTTCTACTCTATGCTTGGCCTACAATGTGTAATGCCCTACAACATGAAGGATGCTTATGCCAGTTGTGACAAATCCATCAGAATGATCTAGAGAATGATCCCAGCAGTCATTTTTTGCAGCATATGGAAAGAGAGAAACAACAAATGCTTAATGGATTATCAACCTCTTTCTGCGCTCTTAAAGCCCAATATCTAGTTAGTTTATTTAGCTGGCACTTTTTTGCCATTGTAAAGGGCGTGGATAACCTTTTAAATTTTGTTAGATCCCTATCTCTAGTAGGGTAGAGTAGTAGGAATCCCTATTGACTGTTTCACAAGTTTTTGCCAAGCTAGCACCATATTTTTCTGTTTGGAGCAGCTTTCTTGCACAATGTGCTTTTGTAACTTCACATCTTCTCGATGCTTTTTAATATCATTTAATTACTTTATCAAAAAAAAATCGACAACTAACATCCAAATTAAGCCCCACATTGCATGCTTTAATCAATTAAATTTCAAAAGTATACTCAAAGTTACGATAATGTCATTTTTTCCCTTTTTACCCCAGCACCCTATCTCAGGATCAACAGGTGTACCTGTGGTGCACTTTGTCGTTGTATCTACTTACTTAAATGTGTTCTCACTTACCCTTCACATGATGTTAACTTATACTATACTGAATGTTCCAATTATTCTTCAAATCATTCATGTAATTTAATTTTTTTTTGTTTCTTTTTTAGCACCATCACATACTTATCTACAAAAACAGTGCATCCACTACCATGTATTTTCATTCTTTATTGTTGATAAGGTAATAATAACAAAATGTAAATAACCTACAAAATAATTTGTTCTTTACAAAAGGCACTCAACATCAATATGAATAAGAGTCTTGTGGGTACACCAAAAACTAATCAAAAACATAAGATGTGTCCAAATCTGTGCAACCTCATCTTCCAATTCTCTTAAGATCCTTTCCTTTTAAGTACCAACATAAGCTAATGGGACTACATCCTACAACCTACTGCATTCACAACCATGTATCACCCCTCCAATGTCTCGGACAAAACCCATTTTATGCCAAACCATGTGTTCCGCGGATCTTTGACACACCCGAAATCTTGAATACCCTATGTTTCCACTTAGCATCCAAACCATTAAAGGTAATGTAGTTATTTTACTTTTAAACTTTAGCGTATACTACTTTACAACTGTCTAGTTGAATTAGATTCGAATGAGATTCATAACAAGGCATGTGTGCATAATGCATTAGGCCTCATTTGTCTTCATTAAGATTATCTGAATGATTAAGATGTTGTCTCTCTAACACTGAATAATTAAGATTGTTTGTTTTTTGAGATCAATATGTACATAATAAATATACATTTTAAATAAAAATTAATTAAATATTAAAAAGAATTTTAATAAAATTAAGTCATTATTTGATTTAAGATATGAAACGCTTACACTTTCTAGTGATGGTGGTTGTGGTGGTGATTGTAATAGTTATTATTAGTTGCTTGTAATGATGATGGTGATAATTGTGAAGGTGGAGGTGCTTGGTGTTGTGGTGACTATCATAATGGAGGCAATTGATAGTGGGGTTGGTGGTTGTAATAAGGTTCTCGGACTCTCCAAAATGTTGTCCCACCTGTGTCGGATCCTTCAAAAATACACTACTTTTGAAGGATCCGCTAGCACCCGTCAACATTTTTGAAGAGTCCGAGCAACATAGGTTGTAATGATGAAGTTGGTTGATGTTAATAGTTCGCACTATTGATGTTGACGTTGAAGAATGTGTAGTGGTTGATGATGTGTTTGTACTAGTAGGTGGCTGTTCTAGTTAATGATGAGGTGGTTGGTAGTAGAGATTTGGCCACATGGTTGGTAGTGGTTAATAGTAGTGGTGGGGTGGGTGTGGTGGAGGTGGCGATCGATGGCTGTGGCAATGGACGAAAAATGTATGGTTGTAGTTGGCAACAATGCTAGTTTTGATGGCGGAGTTTGTTGGTATTACGAATTAACTATATAGTGGTGGTAAAAGTGCAGATGGAGGTGGAGGTGGAGGTGGAGGCATCTATAAACACGTTTGTGTTGGCGGTAGCAACAGAGATGGGGATGGTGTTGGTGGTTGTGATGGCAGAGGTTGTTAGTGGTAGTGATGGCTAGTGATTGTGGATACGAGAGCCACTACAAAGAAAGTTACGAACTACATATCTCATTGGCATATCTTGTTTGAGATGTTCCTTCGACATCAGGGCTTCTCGACCAGGAAGAACAACTAAGCAAGTTGCAATTGGATATAATATGCCAGTAACTTGCATACACGTATTCGACATCACAGGTCCTTGCTTTGAAAAAGGAGCCAGAGCACCAGATGCATCCTTTTGAATATTATCCACGCAAAAAAATTGATGTTGAATATTATCCACCCAAGAATACCTCTTAATGATATTAAGACTTTGTTCTAGATCATAATGATTATGACCTATTCAGACCCATTAAGTGCTTAAATCTTAGTGAGACTTCAAACCTCCATTACGTAAAAACAAACGAGCTGTTAGTTTGCTTACAGATATATCCGTTAATTTCCGATCATGGATACATATGTATCCACAAGATACCCATTATTGGTATCAAACCAATAACATCCATAGAAGCTAAATCTTCTAATCAATCATTAGGACAAACTACCACCCTTCCCTATTCCTGGATCACTAGCGTAACCACTTACCTTGATCAACCTATCATAGTGTTTGAACTACTAATATATCCCTTCTTTTCACTTACCCTCCACATCGTTCCATGGACAGGCTAGTGTTACCACTTACAACCGCACCTATTCAGTTGACGTCGAATAATTCTTTTCTTTTAACCCCACTACACCCTACCCCATCCCAGGATTAGCTGTATATCGCATGACTGGAACTTCTAATACTCCCAGTGTTTCGACTTACTCTCCACATAATAGGAATGTGCAGGTGGATATAACTCAGCAAATACAAAAACAGAGAAAGGGAAACTAAATCAAAACCTAGAAGGAAATAATAGATGTGACTGACCACCGGGCTGCTCTTCAGTCTCATTGAACTCCTTTTCCAAAGCTCGATCAATCATGTTCGCAAAACTACCTTCCTCAGATCTAGCAAGGGAAGAGGAATTAAATTCAGCAGCATTGACAACGACAGCATTTTCTGAATCTCCAGATATCGGATCAGCAGAAGAGAAGAGGACGAAAAAACACAAGGAGATAACGAGGAGAAAGCAGAACCCTGGATTTGGCATTGCCGAGTTAGAGAGAGAAAATGTGGTTAGGGTTTTAGAGAGAGGAAAATGGGTGCCAGAGTGCACCCTGCTGGAAGTTATCCAACCGACATTGAGATCCTTTACATTTACGTTTTGCTCAAACACCGGGGGAGAGAGAAGCGGGGGAAGCCGGCGGTGGTTGGGTGAGTCTGCGAGTACAAGAAAGCGTACTTTTGTCATTTCCGGACCGAAAGAATGGTTTAATGAGAAAATTAAATGAATTTTGTTTTTGGTGATAGGTTGACTAGGATGAAATTATATATAATATAAAATTAAGTAAATTTGGGATCAAATTAATATTTATAAAAAAAATAATTTTTTTATAATATATCATATTTTATTTTTGAATTTCTATAATTCAATTCAAATCATTTGAAAAAAAAATTCATTCTCTTCTTCTCCTAGCGTTCTTTCTCTCTTTTGTTTTTTCTTTTTTTTTCAATTCGAAAATTTAACTATCTTCATTATCTTCCTCTTCGATTATCTTCATTATTTTTCCCCTCATCTTCAGTCGTGACTCTCTCTTCTTTCTGAACTGAAATCGTGATCAACTTAAAATGGGTAAGCTACTTTTATTTTAAAAAAATTTGAATTCTTTTTTATTATTATTAATGAACAATAAAACGTTCTATAGATGTAAAAATTGAATAATGATGTAATGGTGCCTATTATTTATTGTTTTTGAAAGATAATCAATCAACTTAAAAAATTATAATTTTGAGGAAATGTATATTTATTGTTAACCTTTAGTGAAAAGTCATTTTTTGTTGTTTTTGTTGTACTTTTTGTGGTCATTTTGTTGATAAGGTATTAGAAATATAGTCTTGTTCAGTTGTCCAACATATATTTCATTTGTTGAAAAATGTATCGTATATTGCCACATTTTAGTGATATGTTGGTGCATATTCCAACATTCATCACATGTTGTAACATCTCACTTATGCGTTAGAGCAACAAAATGGTCATATGTGGCAACATAAGATTCATATGTGACAACAAAAAATTCATTTTTGCAACAATAGGTATATTTTTGTTAACATATGATTCACCCGTGGCAATATAAGATTTATATGTGGCAATAGAAATTTCATGTGTGGTAACAGTAGATACATATGTGGCAACATAATGTTATTATTATTTTATATGGTAACAGTAGATACATATGTGGCAACATAATGTTATTATTATTTTATATGATTTGTAAACTCTCCATCTTTTTTTATTTACCTTGTAGATGAAATGATACAAGAAGCTTCCTCCATGACAACAACTCAATCTTTTATTGGTCTTGTTTCCTCTTCTAACATCAAATGATCTTTTTGTCTCTGCGAAGAATGTGAACAACAACATAATTATTTTATTAGTCGTGTTTAAAAGGTCATTGATATTTTAAAGGAAATATGTCATAATATTAATATACAAAGATCCAAGAAAAATTCAAAACTTTGAAATGTAAGAGGTTGAAAAAATATATTTCTCAAACACTTTGTATAATTAGTGAGAAGAAAGAGAAGGAGAAGAAGACAAAGGAGGAGAAGGAGAAGAATGAAAATGATGAGAAGGAGAGTGAGAAGCAAAAGGAGAAAGATAAGAAGAAGGAGAAGCAGAAAGAGAAGGAGGAGAAGGATAAGAAGAAGGAAATGCAGAAAGAGGGGAAGGAGAAGGAGAAGGAGAAGCAGGAAGAAAAAGTGAAAGCGAAAAAGAAAGAGAAGAAAATTGAAGTCTTTAGTTGTGATGTGAAGCGACAATATTCATTTGAAGGTTTTGACATTGACGGCGAGGGTCCAACTGAACTAATGTCATCCTTCTCACAACGGATAAACAATGGTCTTTACAAACATCATGCAAAAAAGTAAGATCGTTCTACTATTATTAGTATTTCTTCTTGTTATCCATTAAATAATTATTTATAATAATTACACAATTGCAGAAGAGACAAAGACGATCACTACTTAGCCAATTGCTCGAAAAATGATTTTGACTGACTTGATTTCGTAGTTGCGTTTCCTAAGAATGAGGACTGATTCTACGTAATATCTCAACCCAATAAGTGTTTGACTGATGACGTAAATCCATACCCAGTTTTATGTTTTGATTAATACATGAATATATACAAATAAATTGATATAGAGAGACACTTGTTTGATGCATCTGCTGTGCAGTATGTGGATGTCATTTTTTACTATTTGCATAAGAAGTCGAAGTAACAGATTCATTCTAAATATTTATATACCACTACTAGTTGTTTTTAAAAACATAAATTGACAATGCTATTGTTGTTCCTAAATATGAAGATAAAGTCGTTGGCATTATGAAAGGGTTTGGTATAACTTGTGGACTACCTCGACACTTGATAGATGATGTTTATGTCCCTGCAAATAGTAATAGGGACTTCCATTGGGTCTTAGCAGTCGCTGCATCGAAGGAACGGTGAATAAAAGTATATGATTCGATGTCCTCATTTAGGTCTAACAAAAAATTATCCTCCGAGATTCAAAAGTTGTCTATAATAATGCCAAAGTACCTTGAGTTAAGCAATTTTTTTGAGCAAAAAGAGCGAACCAACTGGTCAGTTCTTGAATGTTACCAAGGAAAGAACAAATCTCACCCATTCAAAGTCAGAAATGTTATTGGTATTGCTCAACAAGAAAGCAGTAGTCTGTAAGTAACATATTAATTTTTTATCTTACGACTATCAAAATGTGATGTCATTATATTTTCTAATTGATGATATATCATACAAAAATTGTGGACTTTTTGTTACTGCAGATTGAGTGATGGATTAGAAGTACCATTTTGTGGACTTAGTGCTAAAACCCTTCGCATAAGATATGCTTCACTCCTATGGAATTATGGGATTTTAAAGGCTCTATGTTAGTGACAATAAAGACCCACGGAGGCCTATACCTAAAAAGGCAAAGAATTGATGAAAATGTTGTGGTTAACACCATTGATTAGATAGGTGGTTATGTATATCATTGTGAATTTACTTTTTGTTGATAAGTTTTATAAAACAATTGATGAAGTGTTAATTTTTGCTAATAATATTAATATAAATGATTTTTATGATTATTTTCATTTAGTTAGAACAAATTTCAATATAATGGAAAGGAAGAAATGTGGTGTCTGTGACAACGTATATAACTCTGTTGTAAAAAACACCACATAATTATATGCATGTGTACCAACAAAGATGATACATGTGACAACATATTTCACAGAAAGGAGATATGTGGTAAGATATGTTACAGAAAGGATATATGTGACATCATTATACTATACAACATATGTCACAGAAAGGTGGTATGTGCCTCAACAGAACGTATATATGTGGCAACATATATGACACTTTCAATTGTCAAAATTCAAAAAAAAAAATTAAACGTCTTTAATACAATCATCACTTGATTTTTTCTCTCTACTCTCTTCTATAGAAGTCGTTTCATATTTCAAATTTTATTTATTTTTACTAATATTAGTTTTTCTTTTCTCTTGTTTCCTTTTTTTCTCCTCCTCTCGTTCCATTATTCGTTCATTCACATATCATTGTTCTTCCGATATCTTTTAAAACATGAGTGGTAATCTGTTGCAATCCTTTTCTATAGCAAGACATCGTTGTCCTCATCAATTCTAGTTTATCGTTGATATCTAGTTGGGTATTTTTTTTTTGAAATGATTTCAAAAAGCTTCATTTGTAGTTCGTTGGATAGGGTTTAGGGAGAGTTTTGTGGTTTGTTTGTGTTCACGTGTGACATTGAATCATATTTGTTGTTTATATTTTTGTATATTGTGTTGTGTATTTCAAAAAGATAAACTTCATTTGTAGGTCATGTGTGACATTTAAATATTTTATTTTTGTAGTTGTAGATACAAATATAATGGCTCTTGTCAAAAGAAAAATTGATACAATTGATACAACAAAGATCCAAAAAAAGGCTAGGACTAAAGTTCCTAGGAAGAAGAATGAAAATATCACTCTTTTAGAAGAACTTGCATCTGAAGCAGTTTCTTCTTCTCAAGCAGAAACAAAATTTTCTTAAAAAAATATGAAGAAAGAAAAAAAATGAAGTTGTTGATGATGAAGAAAGAGAAGAAGAAGTTGAGGAGGAAGATAAAGGAGAAAATAGAGAAGTAATCGAGGAAGAAGAGGTAAAACAAATAGAATTTGAGGTAGAACAAGAAGAAAAATATTGAAGTAGTTGAGGAAGAAGGAGGAAAAAAATAGAGAAGTAGTTGTGCATGAAAAAGAAAAAGAAAGAAATGAAGTTAAGGATGATTATGGGATTAAAATTATCAATGCAGACACTTTCTACGTGTATCTGCAGCCTAATGCTAATGGTGATAACATTATTGGGTCAGTCATGAGAAAACCTTTCAACAACTGCAAGGCTATCCTCAAGAGAAATCAATTGGAAGATTTTTTTAGAAATAGTTGTCTCGGTTATTTTCTTGATTTACTCGATGATACAACTTCACATTTAAAATGACCATGATTTATGAACTTTTGAAAAAAGGTTTATTTTTCAAAATTCCAAAAAGAAGGATGATATTTTAATTAATTATTGTGGCATGCCAATCTTCTTAGGTAGAAGACAATTTGTCATAGTTACATGATTAAAATATCATCGTCCTCTTGAGCCCGTCCATGAATACATTGTCAAAAAAGAACCACGGAAAAAAATAAAGGAGTAAAAGAAGAAGCAAGACAACAATCACTGTCAACTGAGGAGCAGGACTTGATGTCCATTGTTGGAAAAAACTTCAAATATTCCGACTTAATGTTGGAAAATGAGGATACACCAAGGAAGCACTATGAGTCATTGTGCTTACTTTGGTTTACACATAATATATTTTTGGCAAAAGATCTCAACAACAACATACAACTTAAATGAGTGAATTTCTATCAGGATATTGAGGCTTTCAACAACTATCCTTGGAATCACGAGAGCTTTGAATTAACTCTCAAATACTTGTTGAAACCTTAAGAGCAAAGACCAGTAACTGTTTGACTTTCAATGGGCTTTCATGATAAAGCTAAATGTTCTTAATATTTTTATATTTATATTGAATAATTCAACATTTGATTTGTCACATATTTTCCTTTTTTATAGTCTTGGACATTTGAAGTCATTCCTCATTTGACCCATCAAGTAATTGCAGAGGAACACATCTCATCTCCAAGGATAGTGAGACGGATCAGATAAAAAACAAAATCTACCAAAGATGGGC